TTAAAGCATAAATAATTTATTATACGAAAGAATTTAATTGGGAAAAGCTTCCTTTAAAAGATCTTAATGCTGCTTATTACGGAAACAGTATTTTTGTGAATGATGTCATACGTATATTTATGTATATATTTTACATTTATCATATATTTTTATCTCAAGTTAAACTGTTGAAATAATTTCTCAAAATACATAGGCCTATATTTATAAAACAGAATTGTGTAGATGTGCGTGCTATTAAATCCTTTAAAATTTGAATACTGTAAATCTATAGAGTAGTTATTATTAAATTTATAATTAAATCTGGCAAGGAGTAAAATTCATTTACGTTATTGATTTTAAACATTAACTAGTTAAGTTTTACTTGAATTTTTTCCAATTCAATTAAGAGTTTTGTGTTGCAAAGCGAACTCGTTACATCAATTTTCGTAAATGTAGTCAATACGGTTTGTTCGATAAAAATAAATAAATAAATAAAATTCATATAAAACGCACTTTATTCAATTGAATTTTGGGGAAGATTTACTACCCATCAAAATATCTCAGATACTGAACATTTTATATCGAAACGACAATATCGATTTTATATACTGTGAAAGAATTTATTCATAAATAAATAAATAAAATTCATATAAAACGCACTTTATTCAATTGAATTTTGGGGAAGATCCCCTCTGGGATCTTAAAAGTATTCTATTTTAAAATTATTGATTATATAAAAGACGATCTTTTAATATAAAGAGTGTTGATTAGATGAGCATTGAAGCATATGGATAAAAATTAAAAAGCAATTGTAAATTTCTTTCGTTTAATAAATCGAATGTCTGTTATAATGTACGTAGAAAATGATTTATGTTGCTTCTATATGATTTTATGCGTGGTTGCTCTAATTTAATAGCTTTAGTGATAATTATATATAATTTTTTACTGGGTAATTATTTTATTTAATTCGTCGTTATCCTTGACTTTACATGCTACTTTAATTATTTAATTAGTTTGCTAATTTTATTTTAATAACTTCATCCGATTTTAAAAAACTAAAAAATCCATGTCATATGTCATTTTTTCCATTATTATGAAACACTATATAGATAGATTTCCTATCTAAATGCTTATCAGATTTTCTGTATCCGATTTTTTTGGTATAATATATCAAAATCGACTCGATAATGTAACCTTAAAGGCATTCTCTATAGTAGACTATGTGGAAGTCGAGCATTCCCGCTCGGTTTCGATCCAACGAAATTTATCTTGAAACCAAGGCAATTATCTTTTAACCAAGACATTATCAAGTAAAACAAATGTTCCGCTAGATAATGCTTTCAGTTTAGAGAAAAAAAGATGATATATTATATTACATATAATCATAAATTATTAATCATGTAGAGAAAGACAAAAATTGTCTTTCTTTAAACACATTTAAAATTCTAGTTTCATTAGTTCATTTTAATTATTTTATGTATTAAATACTGTTGTTTATTATTTAAAATATATATTTTCATGTTTAAAATTTTTTAAAAATTAAATCAATATTGTTGTAATTTCACATAAAAAAACTTAAATAAAAAATTTTGTATGAAAGAAATCAAACATATATTTGAGAACTACAAATAGGAAAAGTTCATTCATACTTGTATAAAAATGATTCGTTCTGTATGCAGGAAAAAAAAAGAGACAAATCGATTTACACTGATTTAACTTCAACCCAGTGAAATTCCTGAACAACAGCTGACTAACTAGAGCAGTGGGCGTATTTGCGGCCATGTCTATGCGATTGATTGATTGCTAGTTCACTGTATCCAATGCTTCATCCAAGCAAACCTACAGGAAGTCGTTGGATATCGAGAAGGGAGCGATCTGTTGGACTTTAAATGCTTGGTTAAACATCGATACTTAATGACTCGTAAAAATTACGGTATCACTACTGTATATACGCAACCATATTAAAAACCAGATCCTAATGATTATTAAACTGAATTTTATTGAAAGATATTAATCAAGCTATAAATGCTACTTTAAATTATAAAATATACATCTGTTCTATTTCTATTTTCTAAATATACTGTATCTAAAGGAATACGCATCGCACATAACCAATCAGAATAAGAGTTTCGACTATGACATGTGATCTATATTTTGCCAATCATACAAGTCTAACATCGCATCCCAGCAAACCGGAAGTGCCGCCATTATTTCTCACGCTTCGAAGATTTGATGATGGATTTCAAGTATTTACAGCACATTTTCATTTAAAAGATCGTATGACGATCTTTTAAATGAAAATGTGCTGTAAATACTTGAAATCCGCGTATAATTTGATAGCAGTTATATATTTATTAAATTCTTTCCTGATTACTTGTTCGAGATGAAAGCTATTCTGTAGATATAACATTGGTAGATCAGAGGCATATCTATATAAGAGCTAATACAGCTTGCTCAAGCTGCCCAAGACCCCAAACTTTTAAAGGAGGACCCAAAGCACAATGTAAAGTATAATTATTAGATAGGCGATAGAACTTAGAAATGCAGAACAATAGTAAGAAATTTTTAAATTGGTAAAGTTAAAAAATAATTGTAATGGGACCAATGGCTAACACATTTCTCATCTATCTGAATATAAATTCAAAGAAAGGCCTAACATTTTAAAAATGTGTAACTCGTAAAACACAGCAGGTTGTAATGTTTTGTGATTGGCTTTTTGGGGAATTTTTTTTAAACAAGTAGAGGTCAGTCATTATGACTTCCTTTGAATAAAACTGCTTACAGATTTACAGTACTAATAGAAATACTAATACTAATTTTTATAAAATGTATCATTAGAAAAGGGACTCGGAAAAATCTCATGCCAAGGCTCTCAGAAATTTAGATCCATCTCTGCAGAAGATAACGAACTCCTATTACAAATATAATGATGCCAGTTTCCAATGATCTTAGTCTCTACAATGACTATAAATAAGAGTCAGGGTCAAACTTTTGGTTGCATAGGAATATTATTACATGGTTAAGTACTGAATTCACACGTGGGCAGTTGTACGTATTCAGCTCAAGGGACAACATACAAAATAAGACTGTAATGAAAAGAAATACAATCCATATTGCAACACAAAGAGTTTAATACAGACTGTATCATGTTTATATTAGCGGCGTGATTGCACCGGGCGCTTGCTAGTTTATTAAGAATGAAAACTTCCATCTGGTCATAAAATAATATTTAATAAAAATTTAATAAAATATTTAATCAAAAATTTTTCTCCGGAAGATTAAAATATATAAATGCTCTAACTATTGTAAACAAAAACTTTTAAACAGATTTTGAAAACTTTTATATTTTATTTTTTAATTTTTATTAATAAATATTGACATGATTAGATAACATGGGTTTAATACTTTTTTATTTAAATAAGGATAGGAAAGGAAATAATGTATACAAACATTATTCAAAATTATTTCGAGTGTAATAGCATACACTTTTCTATTATAATTGAATAGAATGACCATTATAATAACTATGAACACTGAAATAATCCCAGAAAAATGATTGACATATGAATCAAATAATCATTTAATTAATTGAATTAACTTATGAAATTGTATAGTACAACTGCAGCATTTTTGTAAAATAAAATACAACATTCTTTTTGATTTAAGGAATATTTTAGAATTTAAAAAATATATAAAGCCTTTTTAGTAAATTTGACCAAAATTTTCAAAATTCTACTAAAAAGAATTAAGTTTTGATCTGTTAAATTCAATTAATTATACGATTTTAACAGTAATGATTTTTGTGATAAAAATGCTCGTTAAATTATACGTAACACTTGAAAAATAAAATATAATATAATTAAAAATTTTGAATCTTAAATTAATTTTTTGTAATGAGTAAATATCACAAAAAGTCTTGTTTAATAATTTTTATCCATTTTATTCAGCGAATAAATTTTCTTAAATGCATAAATATTGATAAACAGTTTAAGTTATTCTCATAAAAATATAATTTAAATTTTGAAAGAAATTAAATATATTTTTAAAAAACTTTTTATTAATCTCATTATGAAAATTTTCAATTATACTCTTAAGTAATAATATTAATATATGAAATTTTTTTTTAATTTTTATAAATTTTTGTGTTTATTTTTTAAAATAAACGCATATTTATTTTATTACCTGAAACTTTCCAATGCTAAATACTAAATTTTATTTTGTTTAAATGTATATTCGCTTTCAAATAATTAATATCTAATTTGAATATTTAAACAGAAACAAAATTTCTTGTGAATCGATAATCAGATACTGTAATTAGAAAGTTGAGAATTTAAAATATATTATAAAAAGATAAGTTATAAATTGTTCAGATTAATTAATATAAATGTAATTTTAAATAATAGTTAAAGTTTAATATCTTCTTATTAAATCAAAACAATTGAAAAACTATTACGATAAATTGTAGTATAAAGTAAGGATCTCTAAACAACTGTTAAGTATTATTGTAATAATTGATTTTTATAAGTTCAAAAATTAAATTTTTCAATTAAAACTTGATAATTAATAATTAATTAATTAACTGTATCACATATCATAATAACAATAAATGTAAATATAATTTTATTTGACATTTCTCTTCAGTTTTAGCCAATTAAGTTACATTACATTGTTAAAGTTTTTAATATATTTTTCTATAATCAATATTTGTGATAAAAATATTCGAATGAAGGTAATTTTTAAATTTTTATAAACATTTTCTTTTTTTAATTTACAAGTAAATCAATTTTCTTCCGTTAATTTAAATAAATGTAAGTAACAACATAAAAGCTGATCTCTTAATATTAAGAAATATTTTTATAAATAAAAAAATTTAAATTTATTCAAAAATTATTTTGTAAAGATTGTTTTTTTTATTATTTGAATTTTTCTCCAACTGTTGCATTTACATTCATTGATGCAATTATCGATATTCCCACTTTATGGTACGAGCAATGGCTAGAGTTTTATCAAATCACTTTAGGAATAAAAAATTTTTTTTCTATTTTGTATTTTAGATAAGTTATGCATAAATCCTTTACTCTTATTTTCGCTTTGATGAGATTCAATATGAAATTGCACAAATAGAATCCTTTCATTCTTCCAAATGCAAACTGACATGCTTCTGCATCTATCCACTTTCACAAATTTTTGAATAATTTGAAAATTGATGGAATTTATTCGTTTATTCTTTGGAATTCATCTTTAAAATAAACGAGGTAAATATATATATATATTTTCCATTAATGCTTAATGACTTTTAGTACATATATTTGAGAAAAACCATTAACATAATTTTAAAAATATTTAATGGGTTATACCTTTGTTTAATGAATTCTTTAAATAAATAAATAAATAACTGCATAACTTTTAAAATAATTCTTTTTAATATTTGAATTCAAATTATTTTATTTACAAAAACACTTTTTATATCTTTCTTTATATGTTTTTCCCCCCTATGATAAGCCAATACAATTAGAATATGTCCATGTACAGGTAGTTGTTTCTCTTTGATCACTTCTTCCTTCTTGAAGTCAGTACGACTAATCAAATGCGGTAGGTTCAGTGCTATAGCGAATTCTTTCTAATTACCATCAAGCAATTGTAGACAGGAAAATCCGCTTCATTTACAACCATCGTTAATAAATTATCTTATCTGAGACAGCATCCATCAGTCGAATGTATTTGAAGTTTTCAAAATCGCTACGGTGGGGTGATTTCCCTCTAATCTCTCTCTTCGACGTTCCAGTCTATTAAATAGTGCTTTTGGTTTGCTTTGCTTTCCATTAATCTTATTAAGCGGCGACATATAATATGAGACAAGTAGAAAGAATAAGATGATTTCCAAATCAGAAAAGATTCAAATTCTAAGTGATATTAGTTTGATAAGGGATTTCTCTCTCATTATTAAATTAAAAACAATAATGAATAAGTATATGGATTAAACATTTAATCAGTTCAGTTAAAAAATCTATTATTGCATTTATTTTAAAATTATATCTCACATTTTTAATTATTAAAATAAATTATTTACTGCAAATTTCTAGTTCGAATATAATGGTAAGAAGTTTATATCTCTAAGAATGCAAATATAAATATATCTTTGAGATCTTTGAAGAGCTTTCTGGCGGAATGTGAATGTAAAGATTTAATTCTCCAACGTAAGTATGCTGTTGTATCATTATAAAAATTATTTATTTTCACTTGAGTTATTCGTAAACTGAATAACTGGTAGGAAGTTATTTGAAAAATAACATACAGTTTACGTTATTCCCAGATTATTCAGATAATGATAAACATTTTTTTTTTTTTTTTGTAATTTAAAAATTTTTCTTTAAATTTAATTTTATTGGAATTTCAAATATTCATTTACTTACATAGAATTAAGTATTGAAAATAATAGTAAAATTTCTTTTATTACGAGTCTATTTCGCCAGATTTAATGATAACGTGGTCAATTGAATACATGAAAACAAAATTAATACATATAACTTGTTAAATACAATAGAAATGATGAATGTTTAAAATACATTAATGTTTGAAAAAAAAGTACGAAAAAACTGATATGAATAATAAGCCTTTAGATTTAAAAAATTGGTATTTTTTATAACGACTTTAAAATACCCAGAACTAATATTTTACAATGAAATTATCATTGAAAGATAAAATTCGGACAATTTAATACAAACAATATGTAAAAAAAAATTGCGTAACAAAAACTGGTATATTTTGCATAAAATTAACTAGTATATCCCAATATTTAAGTTTATACTTGTTTGAAATTTTCATGTATCTAGGGTTAAAATTTACCCAATAACAACATCCATCAAAGCTATAAATTTAAGCCATTTTGTATTAAACAACTTATGCACAACTTGCCACTTATGGATAATGGCCTTACATAGTTGGAAGATTGAATATTACTATTTATATAAACTTATGGAGTAATATTTCTTCTGTAATATATCAAGGGGACGTGCCATATGCGCTAAAGAGAAATTCACCATCAAACATCAAGACTAATATTATATCCTTTAATTATATATCAGTTGACAACCGGATCAATTAAGATACTCTATGGTAAAGTTAGTGGAAAATCCGGTAAAATTTCTAAAAGATTCAGTACAGAATTTCCATATTTTCTACTAAGATTGTAGTTAAAAATATGCTTTATTGTTTCCTTTAGGCAAACAATTGAATTGTTCCCAAAGCAACAACAGAAAATTTGGCTTTTAATGGATATTTCTAAATTTAAACTATTTATTTAGTTTAAAGCATTTATCCGTTTTTATTGGCCTTTACTATGACATTAGTTTATTTTGACATTTACGAAGTTCTTAAAAATAATAAGAATAGTTATATTTGTTAAACGACATTCCTTTGCTATTTTAGTTTATCTTCACTTAACAACGTGTTTGATGTTTAGAAAAATGTATAAAATAAATGTTAAAGAAAATAACACTTTTACTTTACTTTTTTACAATTTGTTTCTATTGTATCGAATTTAGAAATATAAACAAAATTTTTAATATTAACTTTAACAATAAAGGTGTGGAAAGAATAAAAAACAATATTAGAAATACAAAATGTTAATACTGTATAATTTTGTAATTACAGTATAAGTAATTAACATAAGCTAGACAAAGAATTTGCAAACATTTTAAAGATATACATTTAAAATATTAGAATAAAAGTTAATAAGTTTAATCAATATCAACTTTATTATATATAGCCTAGTTGCTTTAGCTTATTGTAAAAAATTAAACGTTAAGTATATTTATTTCATATTAAATTTACTTGATATATAAAAATAAATTTTCTCCAACTGTTGCATTTACATTCATTGATGCAATTATCGATATTCCCACTTTATGGTACGAGCAATGGCTAGAGTTTTATCAAATCACTTTAGGAATAAAAAATTTTTTTTCTATTTTGTATTTTAGATAAGTTATGCATAAATCCTTTACTCTTATTTTCGCTTTGATGAGATTCAATATGAAATTGCACAAATAGAATCCTTTCATTCTTCCAAATGCAAACTGACATGCTTCTGCATCTATCCACTTTCACAAATTTTTGAATAATTTGAAAATTGATGGAATTTATTCGTTTATTCTTTGGAATTCATCTTTAAAATAAACGAGGTAAATATATATATATATTTTTTNATACTGGAAGATATTTTTGTTAGAATATTATGTATAAAAAATAATACGAATATTTATTATGTGTATGTGTATGTTAGATGTTGTATGTGTATGTGTATGTTAGATGTTGTATGTGTATGTGTATGTTAGATGTTATGTGTATGTGTTTGTTAGATGTTAAAATTTTATTTTCTAACCAAAGTTTGTATCTTTATTTAAGTCCTTGTATAAAGTAAATAAAATAAATAAATGCATTCCTTACACACAAAAAACAAACTAATAAAAGAATTAATGCAAAACTATGCTTCAAACTTGGCAAACATTCATCTCTCTTATCAACATTTCCAAATAGAAAACAGATAGCGAAAAAAGAAGTGATTCCATTTTCTCTTAACTATACCTTAGCCGTCAAGTTAAAGAATAATTTTGCATTTCAATTCAATTCTAGATACATTTTTGCCGTAAGCTTGGAAGACTCCATTGATTTTTGACGAGGGCAAATGAAATTGAATCCAAAAACCCTTTACTGGAGAGAGAGTGCTTCCAGTATAGGGACACAGGTGGAGAGATACACAAATTCCCTTATTGACCGATACCATGAAGAATCACAAGCTGCTTTTGAGATAAAATGTTGAAAGTTCTGTTTAATAAATTTTAACTATATACACTTTTTTAGAATTAAACACTAATAAAAACAATAAAAAAAGAAGAATGATTTTTAAAAAATTATTGTTTTTTAAAGAAATAACAAAATTTAAGACAACTTTTAATAAAATATTTTATAGTAGAATTAAGTATGGATTTAAGTTTAATTGTAGCAAAAATTCTTTGTAAAGTTTGTTTTCGAGTATGATATGGGATTTTGTTGAAACTATGAAAATTCTTTCAAGAGGAAAAAGTAATTTAATATAAAAGAATTTCTATCAAGAATTTATAGATGAGTAAAAGAAAGCATTTATTATTGTTTTCGATTATAAAAAATGCACTTTAATCTACATAGGATTTACCTTTTTTAAAAACATAATACATGAAAAGTTTGCTTAAGATATATGAAATCATAAAAGAAATATAACAGGCGTGTACATTTTGAAATTGCAATTTTTAGTCGGTTTATTTCTTTAAATTTTGAATATATAAAACGAATTTTTTTATTCCTTCAATAAATTTAAACGTAAATGGATTATATACTATTTAAAAGTTGAAAAAAAATAAAATAAAACTTTATATAGTTTATAGAATTAATTTAATCTTTACAACAGGATTACAAGTTTGATTTTAATATTATAATCGGATAGAAAAATAAATTGGATTATTAAATTTAATGTAATAAAAAATTATTAAACTTCATAAATCTTCAAAAATTAATTTTTAAAACCTAAATTTAAGATAATTATAGAGTTGTAGAGATTCTCTTCAGTGGCCAGATGGCATGTAGTTAGCACTCGGAAGGGGATTTATGAGGACGTAAGTTCTGGCCCCATTTCCTCCCACCTATCTTCCTTTGGTGAGTTTTCTAATACTTTCAACATTTATCATTCTTTGAATGATAAGTAGAAAGCGGCAGATAAAGAAAATTACAAATTTTTATTCTTTGTATCTCTTATCTCCGATATTAATTTTTAACGTAGCTATTACTTTAAAGCAATTTTATAGAAGAATATTACACAAAACTAATAAATGTCCTTTTCTCTAAAAATATTAGAGATTATCTTCCATATTACTTTAAATGTATTCGTATTAATCCAATTAAAATCTTAAATCCGTAATTTATAAATCCTCAAACTTCGACATTATCCAAATTTAATCCTGGAATTATTCTTGATAAGATCTTAATCTCAGCTTCATAATCTTTTGAGCTAGATTTGAATAAAATATCTTTAGAAAGAAAAAGAATAAATAGTTCTACAGAAATTATTTAATTACTTCGAATATCATTATAGCATTTTTTTAAGTCTCGAAGAAAAATTAATTGGAATTATTGTATGAAAATAATTCATTGAACGACTTCATTTTCTTTAAGAAACTTAATTGTCATTTTTACTAATTTTTTAAAATACTTTTTATTGTTCTCTCTAACTGCAATTTTCGTAAAATAATTATTTAGATTTTTTCAAGAAATTGGTGTAATTAATCCCGAAAAGTTATTTTTTAACAAGTCTAATAACTAATTTTAATGATTTGCGCTTTGTACTTTATTAGACCTTTGATATTTTTCATTATTTTAACAAAAGTCTAATTGAAATTAGTAGCAAAGTATAAGACTTTTAACAAAAAGATAATTAGCATAAATCATTGACATTTTCTAAAAATAAATGAAAATAAAAGGTTCAGTTCTTAAACTAGAAATCCCGGATTTCACTTTCTAATCTCAAGATATTTAAATTTTTACAATGTAAAGAAGTTTTGAAAGTACTCTTGTACCTCGAACCGTTGTCAAATGCATATGGCGAGCAATTATCTTTCGCTGTTCAATAACATTGATTAGTCAGGATTTCGCGCATTTAACAGGTTTGAAAAGATGCAACTAGAAGTTGGTAAAGAGTCGGGTTGATTGGTTCTGTAATTAAAAGCACTTGATCATTACTAAGGATTAATAGCGAAGTTGGATTTATCGAACTGCCAAGAATATTCAAACCTGTTGTATAATTTAATCTTACTTGACTTAGTTTTGAGTCTCAGTAATTTAACAGAATGATTCATATGAGAAAATTTTCTAATCTTCTTAAAGCACAATTAAAATAAAAGCATTCAAACAATTCAATTAATGACTTTATCTGGATTATGCTATTCTTTATTACTTACTTTGTTTAAAATGTAATAATTTTTATTAAAATCTGTTACTTAATTACACAACTAAATCATCAATATTACATTAGTTTATAAGAGTGCTTTAGAAGTTCAGTTTAGCTGACATAATGTAGCATAAATGGAGTCACGGCATAAATAGCTTTCAGCGTTATTACATGACAAACTGCATACATTGGGCGTCAACTGTGATGTTTCTTACTTCG